TTTTTTTTTTTTTTTTTTTTTTTTTTTTTTTTTTTTTTTTTTTTGGTACTGGGGATCAAATTCAGGACCTTGCTCTTGCAAGGCAGGCACAGCACCACTGAGCTAAATCTCCAGCCCAATTTCTTTTTCTTTTTTTTCTTTTTTGGCAAAACTAGACAACGTATTTTGATTATTAAAAGCTTTGTAAGTGTTACATATTAGTTATATATAAAATACCTTTTAATCTGATTCAGAATCTTGTATTTCCATTATTTAAAAATATGGAAAATCTTTTAAAATCACTCCAAAGTATCCTCTAGAAGTTGGATTAAAATTTTAAACAACAGAAATCAGAAAAATACATGCTTACCATTTGTGATTTTTTTCCCCTAAAGTCCATGCTAGGGAAAAGGAAAAAAAGAAACAGAAGTATGAGCTCAGTAGGACAGGTTTATTTCAGGACAAACCTGAGAGGAAACGCTGTGGCACTAGACACCAGGCTGGCACCTCTTGTAAAGGCTATGGGGTCATTTGTAGAGTCAAGGTGAGAGGGGAGTTCAGTGGAAAAGGGTTGGTTGTAGCTCCCTGCTAAGAACATGGCTTGTACAAGTGATAATGGTTGCCCAAGAAGGAGGCTCGGGAAAGCACAGGAAGTATAGAGGCTGCTATCAATAGCAGGGCTGATAATGTTTTGAGTCCCTAGGTGCAGCTGTGCTGGGAAGGGATGGTTTAGGGGTCTCTGATCAGGGTGGCACTGGTTGGACTGCTTCAGCCCATAGACAAGAGAAAGCAATAAATGTTTGCTTCATTCAGGATAATAAATAAGGTATGCTCCATTCTGGTTTTATTTCCAAACAATTATTTTTCAAACAGCACCATGAAAATGGCCAATATTATTGCTCTTCCACAGACCAGCAAACAGAATATTACTCAGTGATTCAAATAGTAAATGATCAGTTCAATGTGTAAATGTTTGAACTATATTTGTATCTCCCTTGACATAGCTTTCAAGCAGACTCAATTATTTTTAAAAGCCTGGAAGAAGGATTAAGTAGAAATTCAAGTGGCAAGAACATCTAACACACAGTCAAGTAGGACGTGGGAAATCCATAACTCAAAAGCTTTGTTCAATAATGATTTTTTGTGCACCTAGTTTGGAGATTCACTAGAAGCTGTAGACACAGAGAGAAAGACGGAGTTCCTACCCATAAGGAATTTAGTACCTTAAAGTTGTCAAAGACTCTTGCAGGTGGCCAGTGAAGATGATAACTTTACTTTTCTATCACTTTCTTTTCTGTTCATCTTCTGGTTACTCTACAATTAACCCTGCTCCAGCCCAACCCAGTGTGATTTGGAGAAGAGTATAGACATTGGGTGTCTCCATCACACCAGCGCTTACTTTGTCCCATTTCCTCCTCTTGCTGCCTAGAAACCATTTCTATTCCTCATGCCAGAGCTCACCCAAAAGCTACGATGTCATAATAAGGAAAGAATAACTCAGGATCTTTTCTGAAACATGCATATTTCAGTGGATGGTATTATGTAAACCAAGGTAGCATTGAAACACTCAAGTTCCTCTTGACAGAGGCAGGCTCACCCTTGAGTGCTTTCGCAAGGACTAATAGCAAAGAGATGGCTAAAACACAAAAATGTGAGTTGTTTGGCTCTTAAGCACTTAGGAGACAAATCCTAGGAACTTCCAAAATAACTTAATAAAATCTATCATGGAAGGCTGAAGTCCTTATCAGTGAGCAAAAGCAGCAAATCAGCCAAAGGTTGCCATTATACTTAATATAAATTCATCATTGTCCTAAGCTAGTGAGAATTATGGTATTCAGGACACATAGATTGACTTCTGTCTCAAACACATAGGCCAAAAAGAGAAAAGAGGATTGCAAAGGACTATGGAAAATCCTGGGAGACAATCTCTCCCCTTCAATCTCTTTTAAAAGACCATGGGCTGCTTCAGTATTAGGAGTATAAATACAAAACTAGGAGACTGGGTGGGCTCTGTCCAACAGTGGGTTCTTGAGAAAAGGACATGATCAGAAGGGATAGGGTTGGGAAACCAGAAGAGATATTCATTTTTGGAATTCAGTAAAAATAAATAAAACAGAGGTATTGCCCAGAACCAAAAAATAAAGGTGCCTGAGACTTACTTATGCCAGAGGGAATCCTGGATTCCCTTCCAACCCCCAATAGCAACTTGTCCCCCCACCACCTCCTGCAGCCCTGTTTTCACCACTTAATCCATCCACTACCCATTTCATTGTAACCCAACAACCAATTTGCAAATTTTAAGATCATGGCTCTCAACTTTGGCTGCATAGTCCAACCACCTGGGGAGCTGTTTAAAAACCCCAGGGCCAAGCAAATTAAATTAGAAGTGAAACTCAGGCACCAGTAGATTTTAAAGCTCTCCTGGTGATTCCAGTGTGCAGCCAAAGTTGCGAAACACTGCTTGAGGAGCGTAACTCATTAATAATAAATTGAATACTGCCTAGCTTTTCATCAAAAGCAAGAGCATCAAAAAGGAAAACAGATTGTTGGGGGAGCAGAGGGTGGAGTACAGAGGTAGAATTTTGCAGCAGTAATGACAATGGATGTGTGCATGTGTGTGAGTGTGCTATGAAAAACTCATCCAAGTTAGAACATTAAAATCCTAAAAACATTAAGTTCTTGAAAGGGAAATGCACAAAAGTGAAAAACAATTCTCAGAAATACAAAGAGTATTTGCTGAAAATTAAAAAACCTAAACGGAAAGTAATCTTGAGATTGCATTTTATAATCATCAACATAAAAGGAAAAAGCTTAAATGACACTCAAAATTGATGAGATTGCAGTGAAACCAATATGTTAACAAATTCTGATGGCATTCTTCCATGGGTTTAAAACATCCCACTGGATAGCAACTGGCAGCATAAGGAAAATTAGAAAGATATGTGGACCCTTAGACTACTTGAAGATTATCTTTAGCAAGTATGTAAATTGGAGCAAAAAAATAGAAGTTCACTTGAAAATAATCTGTGCAACTAATTCTAATAGCAAAGAAGGAGGAGGAAGAGGTTCTAGAGAAGAAAGAAAAAAATAGAAAAGAGGGAAGAGAAGGGAAGGGAAGGGAAGGGCAGAGCTTAAAATCCAGCGTGAGAGTTTGCTTTAATAATTCATGGTAACCAGCACCACAGAACATTATGCAGTCATTAAGCTGACAACCACAAGACTGTGTGGAAATGCAGAAAAATAAATGCACTCCCTTGAGGGGACACTGCCACAGGCTCAGCACAGCCTGGACTCTGCACAGCATACTGCCTTAGGCCAATCCATGAAGGAGGCTGTAATTTGACCTGATTCCCTTTTCCCTTGAGAGACCTCCTGAAGTGCCTCCTGTCAGGTCTCACATCTCTGTTTGGGACACACGGTCAGAACAAGGACCCCAGCCTCCCATCCCTTGGATCTGGTACTTGGAGCTCTAAACAGGCCCTCACTTTGCTGGACCTGTCACCCCTCCTTCTTCCCAAGACTTCCCTCTGCCCTCTGGAGCCCCTGTGGTGTCATCACCAAAGCCCCTGAATCTCCGACTTCAATTTTGAGCCTGATCTCCTCTCTCCAACTCAGAAGGTAGAAGGCATTTTAGAAACTTGAAATACTAGGTGTCAGAATGACTGGGCATGCCTTCAACAGTCAGACAGAATTTGCTGCAATGAGTATCATCTGTCCATCACTGGGAAGAAATGCCTTGGACATTGCCAGACAGATAATTTAGGAAACAGTTTATCATCATCTGAACCTGGAATTTAACTCTTTGGTACACATACACCCTAAGTATTTTCACACAGTTTTAAAATACACTGAATTTTCCAGAAATAAAGCTTCAGTGTAAATCGAACTGGTCTTTGTTTCATATGTATCCTAAGAATTGCACACTATTTTGGAAAATCATACCCTGGAAAGCAATACCTTTCTAACAGTCTGCCTGTGTAGCTGTCACATTAGGACTTTCCCTCAGTGGATCAAAAGCAAACAATCTCATGAAGCCTGTTGGCGTAGTCATGAACAACAATTTTTACACATCAAAGTTAAATTATCTTATTATAAATTACTCGTGTTTTATCTTTGCTTTATCTTTGTTTTGTAATGCAGGAAGTGCTAGGATTAATAGGATTAATGAGCCCTCAGTTTCCCTTGTAGGTTTTGAAAGTTAAGGATGATTTCCTTCACCTGTCACATGAGACCTCCACCTGGTGTGAGTGTCTCCATTATGGCCTCCAGACAGTGTCTCCTCTCTCCTCTCTCAAAAAGTCCAGCTCCTTTTGAAGAACATTACTGCAAATATAACCACCCTCCTTGATACTTTCACTATTGACTTTGAGCTCATTCCCTCTCATATACTGAATTTTAGTACCTGGCTTTCCATGATTCCTTCTATTAATTCTTCTGCCTGTCATTCCTGGAAACTTTAATCTTGATAAGGATAATCTGTCATCACCCTAATTTTGGCATTCTTTGGTCTTCTCACTGCCAAAGGCTCCTTTTTCACCTGACCTTAGCTACCCACCACCATGGCTATCCCCCTGATCTTCACCACTGCCAAGAACTGCATCACCTCTGAGAACTCAGTTTAAACCTTCCACTTTCTGATTTCCCTTTCCCATCCTTCCAGCTCACTTCCTGTAGAAGACTCCAGTTCTGGTTAATTTTGATGGTCAATTTGACCAGTTTAAGAGTCTCCTGGAGAAGTGATGGAATTGAAAAGACACTAACTTCACCAGTAGGTTAACCCACTATATTCACAGCTGACTGGGCTCTAAGGAATTGGAGCATAGTTAGAGGAAATGGGTCATGGGGCGTGATCTTGAAGGCTATATCTGGCCCCTGGCTCCTTACACTCTTGAGCTCTTTACCTGCTCTCTGCTTCCCAGGTAGCATGAAATAAGCTGCCATGAAATACCTACCATGCTCTCCCACAATGTTTCTTCTTTAGAACCAATCAACCGTGGACTTAAACCTCTGAAACTGTGAACCGAAATAAATCTCTCCTCCTTTGAGTTTTGAGTATCACCTATTTTATCACAGCAATGAGAAAGCTAATACATATCCCTGCTAAATTATTAGACTCCATTGGAATTCAAATTCATAATTCTCATTATTTTCCCACTCCCTTCCTCTCTGCCTGCACTCCTGCCACAATCTGTGTCTTTACTATAGACTCAGTTTTGGTTCCTTGGTGCTCAGTTCTATACAGGCAGACACTGCATCCATTTCACTGTCTGGCAAAACTCTAATCCCAGTTAAGCACTCCACTTCTAACTAAATATAGCAGAGGAGAAAATAAAGCATAATAGCATGCTAACTGGTCAACCTTTATGATACAAAAAACAAGTGGCTCATTTAAATTGATAATAGGAAATTGATTTGCTCACTTTCTGAAGCAACTCTCTTATGTTTTTTATTTCTTCAAATCACTAGCACTGTCTTCCTCCTTCTCTGATGAACTAATCTTTTATGTCATTGTCAAAAGAGACCCAGTTAGATGAGATTCACTTCATCTTTCCACTATTAAATCAACAACTTACATGCATTTGTAACTGCAATCTTTACCAGTGCAAAATGAAGTGTCTATATCCCTACCCAAGATTAACCCTGCACTTCTGAACCAATTCCCATCATTTCCATCCTTCTTCCTTGTGTAGACCTTTTGCCTCCCACTCTCTCATGATGATTAGTTTCTCCATCTCATCCCCAGTGGTCTATAAATTTGCTACATATTTCTCCTCCTTTGAATAAGTCCTTCTCTAGCTATGACTCCATTTTATCCATTTCTCTGACCTCCCACTTTCATTAAAACTCCTTGAAAGTTATTCTGTGATTTATTTCCTAACCTTTTAATTGTGCTCATAATGCAATTTTGTAAGGATTTCACTCTCTCCATACTACTGAAGCAGCTCTTATTAGGGTAACCAATGACATCCATCTGGCTAAATCCAATGGTCAATTCTAGGTCTTCTCTTATTTCACTTATCATGAGCATTTTATACTTAGTCATTTCCTCCCTTCTTGTAGCTTTTTAAAATTATTTCTAGGATGCTATACTATTCATTTCTTCTCCTGCTTTCCTGACCATTCCTTCCTAGTTTCCTTTATTTGAAGTCCCATTCAGCTTAGTCCTAATTCCCTTCTCATCTCTCCAACCCAAGATATGTGACTTTAAATATCATCTACAATCTGCTGATTCCCAGTTTTTATATCTCTAACACCAACCCTTTCCCCAGGTTTAGACAACTATTTGGTATTTCCTCTGCTG